TTGCTCTGCTTCATCTGCTTCATTGTCTTCTTCTTCTTCATCATCTTCTTCGTGTGTTGGCAATGCCTTTTGTGGTTTATTTTGCAGCTGCAATGGCTGCAGACTCTTTGTTTTGCTTCGAGAAAAAAACTGTTTCGCATATCGGGCAGGAATTAAGTTTACGCCCGTTGATTTTCAGCGCAGTTAATGGGCGGGCATCCAGTGCAGCTGCGCTGCGCTCAGCTCCTTTAGCCAGGCAGCTTTAAGTGCAGCTAATAACAATATAAGCAAAATAGCCAGAATCAGCAGACGCAATAAAAAATTATACCCCATAACGATAATAGTGCCAATTGACGGACTCAATAATGCGTAATGCCAAGAACTGAAATTAGCTGATCATTGCATAGCGGATAAACAGATAATTTTGTAAAAATTTGTTAATCGATTGAGAGTGTTTTTTTTATGGGCTGCTATTAATGTGGAACATTTTTCATCTAATAAACATGTTTACTTTATAAATGATTTTTATAGGCAAATCTATAATTTGCTTCTCTTTTATTCATACTATAAACCATTTTCATGCTAGTCTTATGAATAAAGCAATATATTATTTTGACTTCAAGTTTTCAGCTAGTAATTACCATACCTTAGTGTGACTTCGTTGATAACGATATTTCCTCAAGAGCCCTGCTAGCCTTGGAGTTGGCTTAAAATTTATAGATTTATCGAATATTACTTTATAAACTCAAGTTGCACAAGCTTAAAATATTAAGTGTAAAAGTTACTGGGCCATCTTCGTCCCTGCTTAATCAAAGTTTAAGCTTAAGCCCACTTTTTGCGCTTGGCTGCAATAAATTGTTAGCAAACCAATAAGAAAACTATTGCATTTCCTCTGCACTTTGCCAAACAAACAGGCGAAACTATGGAACTCGTACTGTACTTATTTAGTAACATTTATATTCCTGCCATTTCGGCTTCTATTTCTCTCTCCCTCTCTCTTTCTCTCTGCGTGTCTCTTTCGCTCGCTCTCTATATCCCACATTACTGCAGCGTACTGCGTGTTTTCCAGCCGTAAAGCAGGCAGACAGACAGACACGAAAAACTTTCGAAGAGACTGCGGTAAGCCCCAAGACGCTGCCACGTCGTCGCCGCTTTGGTTTCCAGAGCCGAAACCAGCGAAAATGCTAAATATTTGAAAAGTTCGGCAGAGCGGAGCTGAGGTTCCACCACCAGAAATGTCAACTAGCATAAAACTTATGGTAAATGGCCCGAGGCGTGGTCACAAAGCCGAATTTCGCGCAGGTACGAGAATCAAATAATACAAAAATAAAAAAAATAATTGCTCATACGACGCGTTGGCAGCAAATTATTTATGAACCGCCAGCGGCTTAGAAGCTTTTTAATATGAATAGCAGAATATGCAGGGGAGACGGCACTGAAAGATGATATAATCGTTGGCAGTTGGCAATAATTGGGTAGATGCCTGGCTTTTCGGCACACTCAGAGCGAGAGACATAATTAAATTCAATTATTTATGCGGCTGTCAGAGCAAAGTCGAGCAGACACGAAAATGTGAATCAACATTTGGGACAGGACTTACGAGCTGTCCGCAAATGCTTAAAGCGGCTTACACTTTGTTTGTTTGTTTGCTGACCAAATAATTGCGCCATTTGCGTCGACTAGCCGCTGTCACTTTTGCCTCGCCCCGCCTCAGCTCCAGCCGGGGTCGTCCACTGGGCCATTTGCCAGCTGATTAGCATAATCAACCAAAAGTTAGTCGAGCGCATTTCACATGCAAACTAGTTTCATACCCGCATTCACACATGCACACACACACATGCTCACTCACCTATGCAAACAGATATGTGGCTGAAAATTCAATTCGCCTCGCCAAACATGCTGTTGAAATAATCTCGAATATGAAAAATTCATTGAAAAATTATAATAATAAACAGCACAAAATAATTACTGCTCTGGCTGTAAAGAGTAAATAGATTTATTTACGCACAGTTTATTATCACATCAAAGCACGAGAACAGCTATCTGCACATGACGTAGCTGCAAATTTGCTATTTTATGAAAAATTAATGCAGAAGTTTGGATCGGCTTTGCCTGACTAGAAAATACTCTGTAAACAAAATAAAATTGAGTGAGATATTCGATATGTAAAATATGCGTGGGAGAAGTCAAAGCTCAGCTGTGATTGAGTGAGTATGTTAGGCATCTAGTTCTATAGACCTATTTCATCATAGCCTAGTACTAGAGATCGAAAAATACACAATAATAACATTTATGTATTAATTTTTGAGCTATGTAGATAGCAATTGCGACACATTTTAAGGACAAGCACAATTATCTTTTCCAAATCTTGAGATATATAGATAGACAAATAGTCCTTTCTATATCATGACAAGAATAATTTGAGCCACTTCTGGGTTGGTTTATTTATTTACTGCTTATTCATTCATTTATTTATTTAATTTTTTTTAGTTTTTATATATTCAAACTGAGAGCTCACAGAAAGTTTAATGTGTATATTATAATCTAAATAAAAGCGTAAAAATATATTTTAATATATGCGCGCGTTATTCCGAGATGACAAACTTTTTTGATACATCTAGAGTGGCCATAAAAGCAGATATGTTTATTTATTTATATATATATTTCAATATTATTGAGTGACAAAAATCTGTATTTGGGGCTGCATTTTAGGCCAATATGAATCTATAGCTGCAAGGCATCAAATGTACATTCAGTAGACTAATCGAATTGTAGTTGCTGCTATAATTGAATACTTAACATTTCGAATATATATGTATATATATTTATAAACATACATATATATCCATCGGTATATATCCACCTATATAAATAACATTTTAAGCACCAACATTTAGTCGCAACAAAGTGTTTAACTTAAATGTTATTATTATTCTTAATTAATTCATTTTGTTTTAATTTAACGTTTGCGAGTTGAATTTCCCAATGCTTAAATGGCGCGGGCTCGACAGTAATTTTTAGCCACGGTAAATTCTACATTTCGTTTAAACAAATATTTACAAAGTTTAATTAAAATTTGCGAGCTTTTCCCACACCTCGCACGCTGTTTGATCTGCGAGGGGCGCATAACTTTCGCTTTACGTCGATTGGCAGCGCTTTAATGCTCCAACTAGTGGGAATTTAATATTCGTGCCACGCTTCAAAGGGCATGCTCAGGTGAATGGACACGGCGGCAGCTGGGGAAAGCTGAGCTCCTAGCTGAGCCCAGCTGCAGCTGTGGCAACGTCTGGCCGTCTAGACGCGCTTTTGAGTATATGGGCTCGATTGCCATTCTTGGCTGACTTCAATAAATTTTGTCGCTGAGACATGTGAGGCCACAATCGTTGCCACATTGCGCAGATGATGATGGGGGAATTCAATTAAGTCCTAAACGTAGAAATTTATATTTTTGCTCGCGGTTTTCGCTGACCGAAAAAACAAAAAAAAAACAAACTCTCACCAAAAAATAAATACCAAAACGGAAGCTGTAAACGGCTGCTCTTTGTTTATTTGCTACGCACAATCAAGTGCCGCGTATGGGGGCTGAGGGCGGGAGGCGTGGCAGCAGTACAACAATTCAATAATGGAAGGCAGTATGAAAATTAATGCAAAAGGACGCAGAAGGCAACTGCGGTCGCTGCCTTCTGCTTCACTTGTTTTATATGCGTCACAGCAAGAGAAGGCGATGATCCTAATGCTGATGCTGATGCTGGGGATGCTAATGATGATGTTGTTGATACCGAGAAAAACACATCTGCGTTTGGCCGGCGGCCTCTGGATACTCGAGGGACGGCCAAGTTTGTGTTTTATTGTTTTAAAATTTCTTCAAAAACTGTAACAACTGCTACCATCAAGAGCTTCACATGTGCACAGAGCAGAGCTGAGTCCGGGATGGGGCTATGTGTGCGAAACAAAGAAGTCTGGGAAAGCATTCGCAGTTCAAATGTCTGGACGGAATGAGGAAACGAAGAAAGTGAATTAGTAATAAATATACTTGGCTGTATTTAAAACAAATTTACGAGCATATTCTGATATATGTCGATCCCTAAGTACTATTAGTTATAATTAAATTTAAGAAAACACTTTAAAAATAAATTCAATTATTCAACGCATCTTCAGTTAATTCAATTGAGTTCGTTCAATTACAATTGTTGGCTTTCTCTTTCTTCTCTTTGCAGCCGCGCGACAATCAGAGTACAGCAAGCACCCTGAACAGAACATTCAGCTACTTATCTATATATATGTATATATAGATTTAAAGCCTGACACAATAATGATTCGGAGGAGTCTTTAAGTACGGCGGCAACGGCAGCGGCATCAACAATTACGGCAAACAGCCGTGAGCACAAAACATTTATTAAGCTGACCGCAAATAGCGTTTTATTAAGCATACGCCACATTAGCCCGTAGGCTGGCAGGGATGGACGGACGGACGGCCAAGCGCACATCAAATTAGTAATCAAGCATCACAAAAGCAACGCCCAGGGCCGACGTACACGGAATAAGCCTTGGCTGAGTCGTCTTCGGCTTCGGCTTCGGCTCCGGCTACGGGTCCGGGTCTGGGTCTGCCTGGAAGCTCAACTGCGAGGCAGACAGAACTAATAAGACGACTTTATTTTTATTGAAATTATGATTAATGACAGGAATATTGCACGACGGCGATGAAGAATCGTCGCATTGTCACGAATTAAGGGCACAAGCCCATTGACCATGATAATGATAATGACCATGAGCATCATGATAATGACGATGCCAGTGATGAGCATCACGCTAATGTTATTGCTGCGGCCAAGGCTCGAATTTTGACGCGTTTGTCAAGCCATGGACCAGACASCGCACACAATGCTGATGATGATGAACTTAATCAAAGGCCGTTTAATGAGCGTCAATGCTGTTGACGCCGACGCTGTTGATTGCCGGTGTGCAAGCAACTACGAGAGCAGCAAGAACAACGACAGTGACAGCAGTAATAGCAATTAAGGTAAATTGCTCATACGACACGCTGTACGAGGCAAATTCTTATTTGCCAGGCACAAAGGGAAAGTGCAAGCACAAAAGAAATTCATAATTTGATGGCTTCGCCTGGGCAGCATTGCGTTGCAGCAGCAGCAGCAGCAGGAGCAGCCCGCCTACGACGCCATCAGCAACTTCAGCAGCACAACAACAACAGCAGCAACAGCAACAGCAATTACACCCGCAACAACAACAACAAACTGATCTCCACAGCCACACTGACGCTGCTCATACTCTGTCTGAGCAGCTGCATAGCCTACGCCACGGCAGCAGCAACGTCGACGGAACCGCCGTCCACAAGGAGCCCGGACAGCGGCCCTCTGAGCGATGATTTTAACAGCAGCAGCGCCTTCCTGGGCGCCATTGCATCTGCCGCGAGCTCTGTGAACAGCAGCCCCATTGCCATTGTCAGCTATCCGGGCATCACGAGCAGCACTCCGAATGGCAGCAGCAGCACGCTGGTGTCCATGTCCGACACCCCGCTGCTGCTGGACGAGCTGGCTCCCGGCGAGGAGGAGTTCGAGCTGCCGCCGCTGCAATCGGTGATAGTGAGCATCATCCTGCTGATTGTCATCCTGGGCACTGTGGTGGGCAATGTGCTCGTCTGCATCGCCGTTTGCATGGTGCGCAAGCTGCGACGGCCCTGCAATTACCTGCTCGTCTCACTGGCACTATCCGATCTCTGCGTGGCCCTGCTAGTCATGCCTATGGCTCTGCTGTACGAGGTGCTTGAGCGCTGGAGCTTTGGCACGCTGCTCTGCGACATTTGGGTGTCGTTCGACGTGCTCTGCTGCACCGCCTCCATACTGAATCTGTGCGCCATCTCCGTTGACCGCTATCTGGCCATTACCAAGCCCCTGGAGTACGGCGTCAAGCGCACTCCGCGGCGCATGATGCTCTGCGTGGGCATCGTTTGGCTGGCTGCCGCCTGCATCTCGCTGCCGCCGCTGCTGATACTGGGTAACGAGCACGAGGACGAGGATGGCCAGCCCATATGCACAGTGTGCCAGAACTTTGCCTATCAGATCTATGCGACGCTCGGCTCCTTCTACATACCGCTCTCCGTCATGCTGTTCGTCTACTACCAGATCTTCAAGGCTGCACGGCGCATTGTGCTGGAGGAGAAACGCGCCCAGACGCATCTGCAGCAGGCGATGAATGGCACCGGCTCGCCGCAGACGGCGACAGCTCCTGCCCTGCCGCACACTGAGCTGGGCAGTGGCAACGGCGCTGGCCATGGACACCGGCACAGCAGCATAGGCAACACCTCGCTTACGTACTCCACCTGCGGCGGTCTGAGCACCAGCGGAGGGGGATGCGGTGGTGGAGGAGGCGGCGTGGGCATTACGCATGGTCATCATGGCAGCGGCGGTGGCGTCAGCGGGTCAACGGGACTGCTGGGATCTCCGCATCACAAGAAGCTGCGCTTCCAGCTGGCCAAGGAAAAGAAGGCATCTACTACGCTGGGCATCATCATGTCCGCCTTTACCGTTTGCTGGCTGCCCTTCTTCATACTGGCACTGATCCGACCCTTTGAGACGATGCATGTGCCACCTTCGCTCTCCTCGCTCTTCCTGTGGCTAGGCTACGCCAACTCTCTGCTAAATCCGATTATCTACGCCACGCTAAATCGCGACTTTCGCAAGCCCTTCCAGGAGATACTCTACTTCCGGTGCTCCAGCCTCAACACCATGATGCGCGAGAACTACTATCAGGATCAGTACGGCGAGCCGCCGTCGCAGCGCGTCATGCTGGGCGATGAGCGGCATGGTGCACGCGAGAGCTTCCTGTGAAGCCAACGGATCTCTGGATACTTGGCTCTCTAAATATCTTTAGGTGTTGTACACGAATAAGCCAACAAATTACTGCTTGGCAAGGAATGCGAGCTACAGAAGCATCACCCTCTCCCACACTCACACAGACACACCGACCTATATGTACTATGTATGAGTATATATGTAACTGTATACCTATGAGTATTTTTTGTATGTAGTAGTGTTGCATAACGCAAACCATAATTACGATATATGATACAAGATAATTGATAAACGATAAATGTAGATGACTCCTCTAAATGTAACTGAACGTTGTAATTTTTAAATGTAACACTAAGCAATGAAGTGGTCTACAAACAGCAACCACTCTACACACACACACACAAAAACACATATACACAAGTACCCACCCAAAGACAACCAAGACAACTCGCACACACACACACTTACACTGAATACTGTTGCAAAACAATCGATAAGTATGTCTATAGATTTCATTCTTCAAGGTTTCTTTTTCTTAACTTTCGATTGTTTAGTCTATCGAATATCGATAGTTTTGTAGACACACACAGACACTCAAAACTCACATCACAAGATGGTTGTACCACTGTTAATCCAGAACAGGTTTTCACACGGTTCCTTTTTATGTTACTTAGTTCCAAAACAAGAGAACCGATTACAATCACAATCGATATCGAATCTATTGAGCCCACAGCGAGCGTAGTATAATTGCGATACTCAAACGGAGCCAAAAATTAAAATTAAATAAACACAAGATATTGTGTCATCTAAATTATACTTAATATACGATAACTATACAAACACATAAGTTCATATATATATGTAGTTAAACATGACAAAATGGTGTCTATAAACTGTGGAACTGTAAATAGGAAAACTCTACATATATCAGAAATCAAGCAGATACAGATCTATCCATGTCTGTGTGCAGCTCTGTCTCAGAACGTATATTTACTATACTCGTATAGCTAAAGCTCAATACTAAGTTACACTTAAATGTATTTATTAAATACTTTCTGCAATAATTATATTAAACCTTTGTTTTATCTTATCTTCTTGTGTATTTGTAAAAAGTCACGCCTCTCTGTGATACCAAACATTAAGCATTACATTTTTATGTTTAGATCAACTGCATTAAATTATAATATAAATTACTAAATAATACTAACTAGTTACTGCTAGTTTATACGAGTACTAACTACACATATAGATACTATATGAATATATGAATAAATATATACATATATATACATTATATACATTTACAAATATCTAGTCTGGCTAAGTCTATTATGTGTGCGTGTTTTTATTGTATGTACGATATGTCTGCGTTAAGCACATGATATTCAAACATAAAACCGAGTTACGTATGTGTACTGTATGTTGAAATACAAAAATAACAAAATACCAAAAAAAAAAAAAAAAAAAAAAAAAAAAAAAAAAAAAAAAGTAAATAAAACACAACTAATTCCCCCCACACAGACACAGACAAATCCAAATCCTAAATGGAATGAAAGGAGCATGACAAACTAAGCGCATCTAATGCTATGCATCACAGAGCTAAAGTTCTGTAAACAAAAGATAATATTAAAGAAAACAGAAATAAATAAACAAAACTATTTGAAATACTTTCAAGTGAAGCTTACAAAACTGTAAAATTGCATTTGAATTCTGCTTCCCACAGCTGCAAGTGCAAAAAAAAAAAAAATCATAAAAAAAAAACAAGAGAATATCTACAAATAAAACTAAATATGAAAACTGAGCAGAAATTAAAGCATCAAATAAAAGGCAACCTTATAAATGTAATCCCAACCGACTTTCTTATTCACTTATTTGGCTCGTTTGGCAAATTTATACACCATTCTGTATTGTCGTAAGTTTTGCGTAACTTTCCCAGCTTGCAGCCAACTTTTGCACTCCGCTAACTATAACTATACAATATACTGCAAAACATTCAAAGTTCCTTGAATCAATTAGCTTTAAGTTCGGAAAGTTGCACAAGTATTTCGCAGCTCATCGGAAAAAGGCAACAAAGCAAATTAACTTTTAAATACACATATTCAATTTCATAGGAACCTAGGCTGAGCTGAAAGCTTTGAACAACTCTGATAATCCTTAGTAATACTCGTAAAATTCCACTTTACAATATTTGAGCTCATTGTTAGCTCATGTAACATTAACAAGGAAATTTACTAAACAGTTTTTAGCACCAACTTTGACAGCAATTTGATTGAGCTTATATGAGGTATTTAGTTGATAGAATAAATAAGATGAGAATGTTGTCACTGCTATTAATAATTAAGTAATTACATAGTTCACGATTAGAGCAATTCAAGCTGTGCAGGAAATATCGAAATAACCTGTTTGCATATTAGTTATATGCTATATAAGGTTCTCAGTCAATTGTCGCACGCATAAAATTAGAATAATTCAAATTAACTGGTTCGAGTTTTGGTTAAAAATTGGTATTCAACTCGGATTTCGATGTCATGTATATGAATGAGTTCACACTAATCTGTATATAAAGCTGATTGGGCACTTGCAATGCGAAAAGGGACAGAGAGGGGGATAGAAAGGGAAAGGGTAAAAAGTTATGCAGCAGCTGTCGAGTGTCGCAAACTGTGCTTCAAAGTGTCAACTGGATGCACAGCTTAACAGACTGTGAGGAATTAAAAAAAAGAGAGATAAAAAATGAATAAGAACCATATGTCCATGTGCAGTGTTTATTTGTTAGTCAGGCGAGCGAGTTGAGCAAACGTGTAAAATGCGCGGAAACGGATGTGAAACCGAGTGAAACATTGTGAAAAATATCAAATAGCAAATGATAAAAAGCAATAACAATAACAACAACAGCAAACATTTGTTGAGCTGGAAGCAAGGGAAGCGCGTAGCATGCAAATACGTGCATGTCTGCAAGCGTTCGTATTTGTATGTGGTATCTGTGCATGATTTGAGCAATAGTTTGGGTTAGAGAAAAACTAAAGCAACGGCTGAAGCAGCAGGAACTGACACTTGGCTGGATATCAAGTGTGTGTGTGTGAGTGTGCTAGGGGCGTGCAGTGTGCTGTAGCTGGAGTCACACACTCTCTAAAAAGGCTTGACAATGACAAAGTGATCTTCCGGCGCCAACTACTCGCTGCTCCTGGTTGTTGGCTGCTGGCTGCTTGCTGCTTGATGCTTGCCTGCTTGCCTACTTGCTCTTGACTGCTTGCTGTTGGCTGCTGGGTGCTTGCTGATAAATGATGATTTTACGCTCGCTCGTTGCCTAGCCCCAGCCATGTTACAATGCCACTTTATGAGCTGCGCCGGCTGCCAGACCCAATGGCGGCCATGCCAAGGACAAGCAGCGCATCGCCCGCAAGAGCTACGGCAGCTACGGCGTATGTGTGTTACTACATACCTTAAACTATTTGTGTTTGTAAGCAGGGTGTGTTGTTTGTGTGAATATATATTGTAGAGCTAGAAGACGGTATATATATATATATATAT